GGGGACACTCTTACGGGACACTCTTGTTGCACACTCTTGTAGGACACTCTTGTGGCTCACTCTTATGGGACACTCTTGTAGGACACTCTTGTGGGACACTCTTGTAGGACACTCTTGGACACTCATACGGGACACTCTTGTGGGACACTCTTGTAGGACACTCTTGTGGGACATGCGGGACACTCTTGTGGGACACTCTTGTGGGACACTCATACGGGACACCTTTGTGGGACACTCATCTACTCTTCTAGGGACACTCTTGCGGGACACTCTTGTAGGAAACTCTTGTGGGATACTCTTGTAGGACACTCTTGTTGGACACTCTTGTAGGACACTCTTGTGGGACACTCCTGTAGGGCACACTCTTCGTACGAGACTTCCTCCAAAAGTCACGCTGCGAGGCTGCAAGACGAGCGTTTCGTACGAGACTTCCTCCAAAAGTCACGGGTCAAGTCTCAAAAACGAGCGTTTCGTACGAGACTTCCTCCAAAAGTCACGGGTCAAGTCTCAAAAACGAGCGCTTCGTACGAGACTTCCTCCAAAAGTCACACGTCAAGTCTCCAAAACGAGCGTTTCGTAGGAGACTTCCTCCAAAAGTCACATGTCAAAGTCTGCAAAACGAACGTTTCGCGCGAGACTTCCTCCAAAAGTCCAGCGGAAACACCCATCGGAGCACACACACATCACGCAGCCCTGCCAAGCAGTTTCGCGATTCCAGCCCCTCCAAACGACACCCGCTCACACGCCAATCCCAATGTGACAGCGACATTCACCTCTACCACAACTCTCAACCTCCCGATTCCCTGCACCGGCCACGAATCTTTTCGCGTCCACACGTCTAGCGCGCACAAAGTACTGCGCCTGCCACGAAATGTCACCTCCGTCACACATCGCAACCTCACGATTCCCTGCGCCTGCCACGAAAATCCCACTTCCACACCTCAAAACTCGCACAAAGTCCTGCGCCTGCCACGAAAAGTAACAATGTCATCTCATGTGAGCTTCAACAAAATTTGCCCCACACCACACGTTTGGAATGATTTCGACCCGTTCTGAGCACACTCCCAGAGTCCAAAATCGGCATTTCAGCTGAGACTTGTCACGAAAACAGAGCTTCGATGCCACACCCTGAAACGCAAATCCCAATGGCACGGCCACATCCAACACCCCAAAAACACGACTCTCCACACGCTAATCCCAATGGAACTGCGTAGCAAACTGCGGATCTCACAAAACGCTGCGCCTGTGCAGCGAAATGCATCACGCTTCTTGCGCGACATGTCCTTTTCACGTCGCAAAGTAACACGTGACACATCCATGCCTAGTCACTTGCAAAAGCTTCCCCCAATGGCAGCGCCTTAGCGCTCTACTGCGAACGGTTGCGGACGGTTGCGAACGGTTGCGAACGGTTGCGGACGGTTGCGGACGTAGAAACAACGGATCGCGAACAAGGCTCTACCCCCAGACCCCCAAGAGTTAAACGAGAACCCTTCGCTACGCATTCGGGAAAATATAACAGGGAACTCCGAGATGTCGTGGAACACCCCGCTCCGGTCCGCATCGAGGGACGGGAGGGGCCCCGGTGGCGGGTCAGAATGCGACCGGGAGCCGGCTCCAACATATTCACCGGTCTCCCTGGTCTCCGAGACAGGGGAGAGGAGACTCAGGAGAAAAAGCGTGCGTCCAAAGTAGCTGTATAGTGAATGTTTAATTGTTAGTTATTTTTCTGGTCTAATTCCTTCAGTTCCTTTCTTCCATTGATGTTTGGAGTCTGTTTGAAGGAACTTTTGAAAACAATTGAATTCTTTCTTAGACACTTTTCTGGCCGAATTTCATGCATGTCCTGTCTGTCCTTGATTTTTGGAGTCTGTTTGAAGGAAAATGGAAAGTTTGTGTTGACTTGTTTTTTTTGTGAAAATTGTTCGTTCAAACAGGTCTTGAAGCTCACAAAGGGCACCCCTCAAACACAAATACTTTCATGTTCCTCTGGAAAATGCCTTGTCAAGAGATCACTAGGCATTCCATAAAGTATCCAGATACAGTCCCACAACCGCCTCTATAAACTGCATTTCCATGTCTTCTCAAAACTACCAACAACTACCCTCTATATAAAATTGCTACCAAAAATGCATTTTCTAGTGACAAATGACCACCAATTTTGAGAGACCCATTCGCGGGGGATACCTCAACAAGCAAAGGGGCAAAGGCACATTGCTCAGTAGCCTTGGCGGCCTTGGCGCTGCAAAAACTTACAAAGAAGACTGCATCACATAGTATTATGATGTACCTTACAGCCTAACTCTGAAATCTCAAGGATTCATTCAAAAAAACAAAAAATGCAAAACCGCACTCAGAAATGATAACTAGGAAATGCAAAAAGAAAGGCATGAAAAAGGCAAGAAAAAGGCAGCTGGTCAAAAAGAGTGCATATAACAAAGCACAAAAATTGCAAAAGGAAACCAAAAAAACAAACAAAATGCAAAACAACAGTTTTAAAAACGTAAAACAAAAGCGAACAAAACGCACAAAAAATGCACATGCGCAACCAAATTTCGCACACCACCTTTTTGTGCGATTTGTTTTGCTGTTTGTGCGTTTTATGTGTGATTTTTAGCATTTGTTTGCATTTGTTGTGTGTTTTTTGGCCCTTTTTTTTGCGATTTGTTCATTTTCTCAAGGAAACGCACAAAAAAAACAGAAAATACAAAGCAAACAATGCAAAGGCAAAGACCAGAACGTGTTTGATCGCATTTGTTTTGCTTTTTGACTTTTTGATTGCATTTTTTGGCATTGTTTGTGCATGTTTGTTGCATTGTTTGTGTCTTGTTTGTGCATTTTTTTTGCATTTTTTGTGCGTTTTTTTGCATTTGTTTAGTGGACAAATGCGTGATTGTTTTTCGCATTTTTTTGTTTTTTGGCATTCCAAGGCATCCTTTGGTGACTTGTTTTTGCGTTTTCTGTGCGTTGTTTTCGGATTGATTTTGCATTATTTTTGCATTGTTTATGTATGTTTTTTAGTTTTGCTGTGTCATCAGAACTAGCTTTAGCGTACATCATAAACATAGTAAGTATATGTAACTGTATATATATATATATACGTACATATATGTGGCACCCCCCAAAAAACAAACATCTGCAAGTCATTCTATGTTGGTGTTTGCATCGTGTCTGGAAGAAGCTTAGTTACATTCTTTGAGGTATGGTTTGTTGACATGCTTTGAATAGTCTTAGGGGAAGCCCTTCCTGTCGCGGGGCCTCCGTCCCCCTCTCCTATTCTAACTTGGGGTAAAGACAAAATATAACAAGTAATTACAAGTGCAACAGCGCCAGTGATTACTGCGTTACTGCGTTATCACATGAAGAATGCAACTTGGAATGTGTGTAAACTAGAGTAACTAGACACAGTTGGTTAGACTTTATCAGAGCTGCCCCGTCCCGCCCACTCCTCCGCCGTCTTCCCCATCCTCCGCCTCATCCTCCGTCGCTGGGTCCAGAGGACCCCCGGCCCCAACCGCCAGTGCTAGATCGCAGTGGGCGCCACCGGACATCAACCGCGAGTGCTGGATCGCAGTGGGCACCGCCAGGGCTCAATCGCAAGTGCTAGATCGCGCTAGGCAAACAACGGGCCTCAACCGCGAGTACTGGAGGATAGTGGGCACCGCCGGCCCTTGACAGATAGAGTGCAAGACAAAAGGCAAGAATCGGCCAGAAGATATGCCAAACGAATATGCCAGATAGAACGCGAGGTTTCACACCAGATAGAATGCAAGAATTTATGCTAGACAAAATGCAAGATAGAAAGCCGGCACATAGGCGAGATGGAATGCCAGAATATTAGCAAGATAGAATGCAAGAGTTATATGCCAAACCAAGGGATATTGTATATGCAACATAGAATGCACGAATAGGTGTAAAATATAGTGTTAGAATTTATGCCAAATAGAATGCCAGAATATATGCCGGATAGAGTGAAAATGGGCGACTAGAATGCCAGAGTATGAGCCAAATAGAATGCCAACACATATGCCAGATAGAATGCAGGAATATAAGCCAGTGAGATAGAAGCCAGAAGATACGCCAAATAGAATGCAAGAATGCATGCAAGAATGTCAAAGTATGCCGGGTAGAATGTCAGAAGCAATACGAGAATGTATGCCACATAAAATGCCAGGCGAGAATCTATGCAAGAAAGAATGTCAGGAAACATGCCAAATGGAATGCCACAACATACGCCGAATAATGCCAAATAGCATGCGAGGACACAACTGCAAAAATGGGCGCGCTTTTGCGTCATATCTGCGTATTCCAAAATTATGGGCCTTATTGGCCCTAAGCTTCTGGAGATTATGTATCCACGGAAGGTTCAAAGCCAAGGCAACACCTGGCTTCAATATGTTCTCTGACATGTTTTGCAAAAAAACTAAGGGTATGGGGCCTGGTCGAAATGTTTTCTTCCAAAAATGGCTGAATGTCGTGTTTATATTGGGGGCCACAGCTGGTTAATCAAGGAAACAAGAACCCAGCAAGTATTGGCACCAAATTCTGAGAGGTGTCACTTGAGCTGCACCGCTTTCAGCTGCTCTTTGAGGAAGGTGAGCAGAGCTGGCTGAAGTCTGTGCCATTTTATGCAATGCTTGAATAAACAACTTGTATATGCTGGAATCTGGCAATGTTTGCTAGCCGCGCGGATCTAGCGCATTATTTTTCAGCCAGCTACTTTTCAAAACATGTCTATTCTTTTTGATTAGCCGGACTCCATATTATATATATAGTATGAAAGCAACGTTTGACATTGATTGAAGGATGTCATTAAATCCCATCCTTTGAAAACGATAGGACACTCTGAATCTCCATTGAATTTCGAATTCTGAAGAACATGTTGTGGACATGCTTAACATGGACTGTCCAAAAAGAAATTATTCGGGTTAAAATGAAATATTGCTCTCATGACAGGTGAGAGTATCTTTGGATACTTTGGATATCTCCTTTTGACATTAACATAGTTTCTTTAATTTACACCTGAAATGCTTCCGCCCTGTCTTCCACATAAAAGGAATAGCCTATTCGTTTCCCGAAACTCTTTCATTGAGTTGAGCTCTTTTCTCTTTTGCAACAGGCCTCATTTCTCATGAATATTTTATGTTTTTCAGCAAACGGTGTCTTTCAAAGAGGAAAATTCAGCTTTGCAAAGGGGAATGCTTTCTGCAAAGGAAAGGCCTTTTCAAAATGCAAAAAAGGAAACAATCATGATACAAGGTGAGACCCCCTCACAAACCAACAAACCAGTTTTGAAAAGTGATATGTTTAAAGAAACTAGTTGTTTTAACGATCATTTGTGGATAAAGGATGGGGATCGGACCCTTAAAGTATAGGAAATGCTCATGAAAGCCGTTTTACGGTAGCAGTAACTAGTAGCATATAGAGTCAGGATTCTGATCAAATATGTTAAGAATTAAGGGTTAAATTAAGAGACAGCTTTCGATAAAAATGATCTGGGACAGGACTACACGCGTACTTCAAAACCAAGAGGCTTGCTTCCATAATCTGATACAAACAGGAATACTATTTTGTGAAGGGAGTTTTATATTCTAAAGGTGTTTGCTTGTAAGCAACATGTGTCTATGGCATATACATATGATAAAGTTATAAGTTAAACAAAAAACACATGAATTCCTGATGCCCGATGCCCCGGGCTTTTTTGGCGAGACAAATCACCTCCAGCCTCTTTGGAGTTCAAAGAACAACCGCTACAACTCGAAAAGCAAGACCGAAGGAGGGTCGCTACATGTCGAGGAAAACGTTACTGAACAAATCAGAAAAGCGATGACAAACGCTCTTGACAATCCATGGAAAGCCTTTCAGAATCCTTTGCTTGAACCATCTTACAACTTCAAATATCTTAAAACTGTTTCCCAATGATGCCAAGGTCGAGTCCAATTCCACACGACAACATTCTTAAGCGAGCCGTGCTCACCTGACCATCATGCTACGAAAGGCTGCTCGAAAGCGACTATCCTCGGTCTGGGCACCATGACGATGATCATCACTGCTCGAAGCTTCCCCCGTTCCACGACGGTTCAGCGGTTCCATGGTACGACGGTTCATCTGAACATGCACGCGGGGTGGCTTGGTCTTGGACACCATGGGACCATGGACCCCTTCAGGAGTCAGGATGGACCGGTCCGCGAAAAAACGCCATGACGCAATGAGAACAAGGTGCCCAACAAAAAAGATTCGAGGACTTTGGGTGTCCGGCTAGGTTGGAGTGATTTGAATTCATGCATCCAGTGTTAGGGCATGGGACCACATCACAACATATCACCCCACCTGCGATGATCTGAATCACCTTGACTCGGACAAACCCCAAGATCTATCTTAACACCGATGATTCGGCCCTCTGCATGCACAACCGACGAAGAACCTGGCCATCTGCTAAAGCTGGTCTCAGACGCGGAATGGATGGCACAGGGGTTTCCTATACCTGATGCACCTACTCTATGACTCTATACGACCATGTTCGTTGCAATCAATCAAATCGAAACATGCATGCAAACTCAGTAACTCTGTTTGAGGGGTGGAGTCGGAATGGTGATCTTTATTGGTTTGTAGAGCTCACGTCACTTGAACTTGATTGATCTTCATAGGAGTCATAGGAGGGCAGGAAGTACACGCACACGCGGCCCACGAGGCACATCCACTTCCCATCTGCAACAAGGGGCGGCCATGCTCGGTTGCCGGGATCCTTCCTCCAGAAGAGGCTCTACGGCTGTCCACAGTCGAGGATCCCGTTCAGACAAATCCACCAGTTTCTTTCCTCAGCACGGCTAGTGCCCAAAAGGATCCAAAAAGGAGAACATTGATCACTCGGCCAACGTGGAAGACTAAACGCGGCTCGACCAAGATAGCGCTGATGGGCCGCGGGTCTCCCCGAGCATCGCAAAGAGTATAACGATCGAGACCCACAGGATCACAATGGATCAACTAATTGTATCATGTTGTTTCTATGTTGCTACTGAATCGGGTAATAAATGATATTGGATTTTAGTGGATGATATAGGCATAGTTTATATGAGGCGCTGGTTTGAGCTATTGTTTCTGCAACTGAATCACCTATATCAAATATGCACTGTGCACTGTTTTAGTGTCGCACCTTGCCATGTAGGACAAGCAATAGAATACACACCGGAGAGAAACATCGGGAACATCGCATGCTCTGGTGGCTGTAGTGTCACGTCGAAACGGAGACTATTAGACAGGCAACGCAAGGCTGCTTTTCAATTGTTGCACCCTGTTAGCTCATCTGAGAACTGAGGTGGGTAGGGAAGACCGGCCCTCGCTTCCTTGACTGTGTGGTACCTTTATTGAACATTGCTATCCTTCTCGGAGACCTCGATATACAAACGGGTGTCTGCAAAAAGGCACAACCAAAATGCATAAAAACACACACTACTTGTAAAAAAACTTACTGTATTGCGTACACCTACCTAACATGTTGAAGTTTTATCTCTTAAGTATGGAGAGTACCAGTACGGCAAATTGTGTGGCCTTTCGATTTCAAACAACTCAACTCTCAACTCCACCATCCGGACCAGGAACCCCAAAAAGCTGAGCTCTTGATGTGAGGATGGGATGGGAGCCTGCACCTCCTGGTAGTATATAGATGAAACGAATTTGGCCAATTTTTTCTTTTTCGAAAGGTGCTGTGCTTGTGCTGAACTTGATGATTCTATTTACACGTTGCATGATTTTTGCCATTCAACACCTCCGCCTTCAACTGCAATGTCGCTTCACTGGCGGACGAGCCTCGGACCTCTGGCAAAACGATGGTCAGTAGTTCTTCGCCGGACAAGTCCTACACGGTGCAAGCGGTGCTCGGAATGGATCGTGAGCAAAGAACCACCGAAGTGGGACGGAACGACTCTGGAACGGATCGGTCGCTTCTTTACTTTTCAGGGCAAGGAAGGATATCTTGAGTTTGGTTTCTGGACAGGCAATATGTAGATATATTACCTTCAGGCGCCAGGGGTCACTTTGGCCTACTAGCTATGACGCTACCCGCCCGAGTCCTCAAGTTCCACGTGACTGCACCAAGAACACTGGACGCCGCCCCACAACCCACACCAAAAACAGCCAATTCGCCCATCTGGACAGCTCAAACCGGTCTGCCAAAGTGGGCTTCACTCAGTGACCGCCAGTCGGCAGGGGTTGCACCATGAGAAGTGCGCGCGGCTTCGTTGCGCGGAGATCTTCAAGTTATGCTGGCGCAAACACTGGTGCTGGGTATGTACATTGTATGCAGCTGTATGCCAAATACAACAATAATCAACAAAATAACCATCCGACCAACCCATAGAAGTACCAAGCACACCTTGCGAGCTTCAGACATATAATGCCCAGCCAAGTCTGTGTTCACCGCTGCCAGGTGAACCTGTGATACAACATATCGGCCCAGAACTAGAACCCACCACACCTGCACCATCCTTGTCGTGCAAAAAAAGCCAAACTTTTGGGCTTCTGCCACGGAACAAAAAAGGTAAACATGGCCCAATCAATTCCCTCTGTTTCTCACCACTTGCCCCCATCCCGGCAAAACACTATTCCACAGCTGTGACGCATCTCCTCATTAAATGGTAGGTTTGTTTATTTTGTTTGGACTGGACCGGGATGTGCTCTGGTTGGATGCAAAAAAACAATAAAGTAAAATAATATCGTACAATATCTAGGCGGATCGCGTGCACATGGACGATCGCCTCTTTTGCGAAAACGCTTGGGCAAAAGGTGCACCTGGTGTGCGGGGTTCAGTGCATGCTCAGCCTCGAGACCCTTCACGAACACTCGGCTGCGAAGTGCTTTCATGTTGCAAACTCTCATTGGTAATTATTAATTATGCTTTCCTTTTCGTGAAGGTTCCGTTAGCTGGGTGAACGGAGCGTCCAGCCACTTCCTCAGGCCGTCGCGAAGGCTCGTGGCCTTTGTCAGGCCGTCAGCCCACATTACCTCGGGGCACCACCTCATGATGAACTGCTGGATGCTGCGGATGTCGATGTAGGTCCGCTTCTCCGTGGTCTTGGGGTGTTCGGCGCTGACTGCATCAAACAAGCTCTTGCAGTCAGTCACCTGCACCTGCTGAAGGCGCCAGGTGCTCATGTCCTTGGCAGGACCTCGCCCTCGCCGGTCAGCAACTCGCTCAGGAACAAATTGGCAAAGTAGGCCCTGTCCACACAGTCGTCACACGACATAGCTTCACTTGCCAGGGTGCTCCGACAAACCCTGCTGGATCTGTTTCTGCGCCAGTCGACCGCGTTGGCCTTCGTGTTGGTCTCGGTGCAGTGTGGTGCCGAGATCATGACCAGGCAGCCTTGCTGTGAGGAGCACTGATTGGGCGTTAGCCCATGATACATCGACGTAGCCAACGATCATTGAAGATCTGTTGATGGCCACGCTCTGGAAGTTGAGCCCCTTCTTCTTGGTGTTGCGGCAGTACCAAGGTTTCATGAGGGTAGCCAGGTCGGCCGGACTGGTGTCTGAGCCTTTGTTGACGAGCGACACCCATGCGCCAATGTCAGGGCGCGTCTGGCTTGAGAGCCATTGCAGTGACCCTGTCACTGAGCGGAACTCTGCCTGGGTCCGCCTTCGCTGATGCGTTTCTTCTTCAGCTTTCCGGCATCGGTGTTCTCGATGAACTTGGTCTGGGTGACCTGGAGTTGGAGGCTTGTGCCAAGGGCCGCCAGCTTCAGTTCTTTTCCTTTGAGTTCGAGGGAGTCCTCAATGCTGAGCTGCTTCTGGCTGCCCCACGAGAACAATTGCAGGAGCTCTTCCTTGTTGCAGTCGGTGCGACACGTGAGGAGGAAATCGTCAACGTAGACGATGCACACTGCCATCGGCTTTCCATGCTCCCTCTTGTAGAAGAGCATGCGGTCGAGGTGGTGCTGCTTGAAGTGGATGCTCAACATGCGACGCACGACCTCTTTGAACTAGGTTCTTGGTGCTGATCCCAGGCCGTAGATGTTCTTGAGCACACGGTGCAGCTTTGCTGGAAACGTGTATGCCTTGATCGTGGTCTCGTCACGAGGCGGCAGCAAATATAGAGCTTCTGGTCGCTCGTTTCCTCATTCGTTGGCAATCTCGCAATACCAGTTTGGACTCCCTCGGGCGCTCAGGGCAGGTCCTGTCTGGACCACTCCTTTCTGGCGTCACGTTCTCAGTAGCGGCATTCCAAGAAACCAACTTGTTCTTCTGGGCCTCATACCACCCCTTCCCGGCGCAGAGACGGCTTTTGTGGCATTCAAAAGATGTACTTGGTTGCTGGGTACATGATGTGAGACGTACACAACATGCGAGACATGATGGTTGTCATCGGCCTCATCGTGACCACCATAGTGGTTCAAAAAGTGCACTGCTTTGGGATTCTTGCCGGTCTTGCCATCACCTTTGTTGCTGCCTTCGCCACTGCTCTGCTTGCTGACGCTGCATTCAGCATCGCCAGCCCAGTGCCCTTGCTGTCCACAAGCTGCGCAGTGGGTGTTTTGCGCTTCCGGTCAGGAATGCTGCGTGTCGGTGGGCCAGATGAAGTGGTCCTGTACTTTCGAGCCTGCATCAGAGGGCTCTTGCTCTCCGTCTCCATCGTCCTGCTCGTCAGCCTTCTGTGGAGTCAGGAATGTCGTCATCGTCCAGCTCTGCTGACCGGTCTTCTTCTGGTGCCTCAGGCACTTCCGTCACGAACGCCTGCTCGGTGTTCTGCTTCCCCTTGCCCTTGCCCTTGAAGTTGGAGTGGAAAGATCGCTGAGCGCCTTTCCCGGTCATGGCCTTGTCCAAGGGCAGGAGGTAGTGTCTTATGGTCCGGCCACTGAAAAAGCAAAACATCCTTGACTGTGTCAAACTCCAGCGACTGGCCGGTCCCGGGTGTTCTGGAGATAATTTTGCCCTTTCTAAAGGCAGAGTGCCGCGAGCTTCACTGTCGTACACGCCCTGGGCTCGGATGTTGGTGGTGGCCAACGATCTCTTGGATAGCGGTTTGTGAATGCTCTCATGCTCTCATTGGGGCTTCTATAGATGTGCTCGTAGGTCGACAGGAGCTGGCGTTTCAAGTGGACCGTCCGGGCTTCCACGGCCTTCTGGATGGTGTCCACGATGAAGGTCACGCCGTCAGGATGGTAGATTCCCTCCACCGCCGCGGTCCTCGAGCTCTTCTTCCAATTCTTCCTTAGGGAGTTGAACAGAAGGATGCCTGTCTCCTTCTTGGGGACGTAGTTCACCACCTGCACATTCACATTTCGACGCGTGTGCGCCATTTCCTGAAGGCGGTGAAGTCGCTCGTGTCATAGTGCCACGGTGGTGGCTGTGGTGGTTGACCACCTCTGTACTTCACTCCATGGACTGGCCCCTTCATGCTGTTCCATGAAGTCGAGAAGCTGGCTCCAGGAGTCCTGGATGGTGGGCCTGATGGTGGCCTTCCCGATCCACTTGCCTCAGGGCCTCCTTGAGGTCGCCGGCGTCTTCTCCGACTTGAGGTGGATGATGTACCTGAGGGTGAAGTCGCCGGTGGAACAACGCTGGGGTCATGAGTGGGTGCCTCACTTTCGGCTCCTTCTTTCATGGAGCCTTCCCAGTACCCATCAGGGTCATCGTGATGTGCATGAACAGGTTGTGCTTGGGCTTGGGGAGGATACCATCCGAACCGTCCATGAATAGGAAGGGGTTCAAGCCATGCGGTAAATGAGGAAGTCCGGAAACAGGGTCATGGAGTACTCGACAAGGTCCAAGAGGTGCGCGACCAGGCTGCGGCATGGTTGCCCTCGGAATATTCCATGAAGTAGCGGAAGTTATGCCTGGTGCGAACAGGTAGTTGGGCTCAGAACTCAAAGGAAAGCTGGGAACATAGAATGAACTGCTGTTCAAGCCAGTGGTCATGGGCTGTGGGGAAAACAGGTTCGACCCACAGCGTCCGCAGCGCCAGAACTTGGCCTCCTCATCCCACCCATAGTCCTTGGAGCTGCACCGCTCGGAGATCCATAGGTCATCAGCGGCCATGTCATAGCCGGAAACCTGCGGGGCGTCAGCTGTTGCAAAGGCCGCCACACTCGGAGAGGGCGTTGAAGGGGTTGAGGCACTCAAGGTCGGTCGCCAAGGTGTGCCAAGGGTGCCGCGATCCAGGAGGGGCTGGTCGACGTCAGGAGCACGGCCACCTGGAGCATGCGGCAGCAACGGCATGGCACGAAAAACAAGGGCCAACGGGCCAGAGCACAAAGGCTCCGCTGCCAACTAGGCGGATCGCGTGCACATGGACGATCGCCTCTTTTGCGAAAACGCTTGGGCAAAAGGTGCACCTGGTGTGCGGGGTTCAGTGCATGCTCAGCCTCGAGACCCTTCACGAACACTCGGCTGCGAAGTGCTTTACTAGATGCAATCACTACTATCATTACCCTTTATATATATATATAGATTGCTTTGGAGTCGCCGGTGTGCCTCACTGCGACCATTCTTGGTCGCGCAAGCAACTTCGCCCAAGCCACTGCAAAATGCGACATGTGTCCACCCTCAGATGAGAAAAAAAACATACAGTACAACCAATCTTCCAGAATCCCAGAAACTTTGCCACACCTTTTCCACCCAAATGCACCAACGACTCCAGTACCTGTCCCACGAACTCTTCGCATGTGACACGGGTGCGTCACCCACATACACTCCGGATCGCACACGCATGCCTTGAGGATCTGCCGGTTACGCTTGTCCAGGTGGATGGCCCGCTTGTCGTGATAATGATGGCAGAAAAGACATGAGCCTTTGTGGGCGAAAGCTCTTTTTCTGAGTTTTACTGGAGAACTTACAGGAACCCTTCTGGTGAATATCTTGGATTCTGGATGCTAGAAAGGTCTGCATCTTGGATTCTGGATGCTAGAAAGGTCTGCAGCCTGCTGTGTAGCTTTGTTGAGCTTTGGCTCGAAGCTATGTGATATTTTGTAGGATTATGTGGGTGAAAATCCTCCAGTAGTCAAGACTTCTGGCATTCTTCTCAGGGTGCACTTGGGGTGCACCACCCTGGTCAACTGCAACGACATTCATAAGGAAACCAGATACTTCTTGTGCGACGCGGGGCGTGCCGTTGAAAGGCTCAGTCTAGAGTCTAAGGTTCCATGTTGGCCACGGCATCTGACAGTGGCCGAGAAATCGTACCCCTTGGGAGTTCCGTCGATGTGCCCCGCACTTTCCGTCGATGTGCCCAATGTTCATCTATCCATATTAGGCGCATATGCTGGCACATACCAACCAGTACCAAACACTACCAACTCCTGATTCCGATTGAACAATGTAACAATTTCCACTGAATGTTCATGTCGAAGTGTTGCCAGTCTCTGCAGAGTTTTTCAATGCCCTTCTCACTCTCTCTCTCTCTCTGTTGAAACAACCCCGCATGATCCCACCGCCCGGGTGATCCAGGCCATGCGGCTACCATAGTCGCAGCGACCGCTATGGAAGTAAATGCATGCTCGCGCACAAAGCTCTGGATGCCAAATGCTTCCAGGGTTCACGAGCTCCGCCGAAACTCGGTCCTGGAACCGAACAAGAACTTTCACAGCTCTGGTCATCCAGGTTGACCTCGCTTTCAAATGAACATGAAGGTGTTACATGGTGTTACCATGTTGCCTACATGTGGATGCCAATATGTGCAAACCCCATCGCTTGGCGCTGAAGAGAGTACACAGTGAGATGCTTTGGCCTAGCTGCCGGTGCACGAACGTCTGGGCAGGTCCACAACCATATCGCGAAACAAGCTGGCTTATTCTCTTCCCACCTCGGGCATGCCCAGGAGCCACTCGCACCTTTCGTTTGCTAATTACGGCGTACCTTCGTTGCGGAGCCCTTGTCACTTGCGCAGCGGGGTTCGGCCCTTCCGGTCTGGCAGGGTCGCGGTGTCTTCCCGTCGCCGCTGCTTGCGACCGTGGTGGGTGCGATGGTGGAAAGCGTGACTGAGGGGGTGCCTTTGGGTGACAGCGGCGATGGTGGATGACCTGGCTTGGATACAATGTCTGCAATATATACATCAAAATATATAGATATATCAATATATATATATATATTTTTTAAATACCTTGTGTCTCCAACGACCCGTTTAAATTTGCCTTTCCAAGCAAAATATGTTTTTGAAAGAAAGCACTCTTTTTTGCATATGTCACGAGATGTTCCTTTTTTGTTTGTGCCCTGTCAGACCCTCCTTAGACAGTGTCCTGAGACCTTTTTTCGGCGTCCAAAACGCATCTTTTTGCTTCCAAAAGGCGTCTTTACGCGTCCGCACCGGACGTCCGGATGAAGATTCACTCTGTACCTTTTGTTGAGTCCTCATCTCTGAAAACGTGTTTTTCGAGCAAAAACACAAAAATATGAGACCCAAAACAAAAACGCTGAAATAAAGGGTCTTTGGAGACGCTAACATACATGCAATTAACCTTTGAACATCTTTGAACATAATAACCACACATAACAAACACGTATCTTCGAACCAAACTTCAGCGACGGTCTCACCAGGTTGAATTGGTTCACGATGCAAATGTACAGCGAGGGATTCAAAACAATTGACAACAAAAGTAGGGGACAACAGTAGCCCGTGGCAAAGGCCAGTCTCGAAAACACTCTTCTTGCTTCGTGTGACTCACCACGTCGGAGAGCATTGAACAGTCGCAATGCATGCATAGAATTTGAAGCCGGGTTTGGTTGAGACATGTTGAAGCATTGTAAAACAGTGCTTGAGGCATTGGCTTTGTTGCGGCGGGACTTCGCCGTCAGCGTGTTTCCAGAAAGCATCGTAGTGGCAGTTTATTTTTTGGTTGGAAACGATTGCATAGTCGACGACCCAATTCGTAGACGACCCAATTCGTAGGCTTCTGCACGTGGAACTCCCAAAACACCGGGTGTTTCCATGGACGAGTCGACCGAAAACCAACAATTCCATTTCGCATCGCGAAGCACCAAAGGGTGTGACAACGTTGCAGGTTGACAAGCATTGAACTCAATGAGGATCAAACGAAATCAACAAACACACCCAAAAAGGCACCACGTGCGCGAACATATTTCCAATTTGATCGTGCAGCTTACATATCCATCAACTTCTCCACTTCCCCCCATCTCCAAGTCTACCTCTTACAATGTCTCATCTCCGGATCTCTCCACTCTTTCCCAACTCTTCTCAGAAAAAGCTCTGTCCTCGTCCCTGGCGGGTCGAGACCGGAGGAACCGAGGAAATGGCACGGAGCTCAGCTCCTCTTCTTCGGTCTTCCCGCCGCCTTTCGTTCGCCAAGAGCCCGGTGCCACGCCAGCGGACGAGGCGGAGGGCTCGGAGAGCTCGGCGTCGAGCTCCTGTGCGTCCATCAGGCATATGCCGTCCTGGCCACCCGCGCTAGGAGCCAGGCTGCGCAACGACGGAGATCTGAGGTGTTGAAAGACTGATCTTTCTGAGGTGTTTTGATCGTGTGGTGCCAAATAGCAAGATCATACCAGCCCCCCCCAAGGAACAAGGGTGAAAGAGACTGCGATCGCAGGCGACCCACGCCATGACAATCTCCCTACCTTCAGCAGCTGTGGTCTACCTTGTTTCGTTTCAAACCCAACCGGCACCACTCTGAGAAGCCCGGACACAGCATCACCGTGGCCTTGGACAAGAAAGCACGGTGGTTCAAGCATCTGGGAAAGCCCCACTTTGAACCCTCCTATTGGAGAGAGAATGAAATTCATTGGTCTAGATCATTCTTCTCTAACTGGAGTTTAGAAGCTCGGGTACCTCAACATCCAATTTTAAGACTGATCATGGCAATACATCTCAATACGATATATACGACAGCAGTACCCCTTCAAAGCAACTTACTGTATATATACATATAACGCATCAAATTCATGTTGGCTCTGACTCAATTCATCCCCCGGGTGTCAGCCGGTCTGCTCAGTGCGTGGCCGAAGTACCATCGATGCCTCGGTGAGGGGGTCGGGAACCGCCGGTGGTCGGAGGTCCGGCGGGCTTGGAGTCTGGGAACACGGTGCTTTGGGGGGTGATGTTGTCTCGTTTCAACGGCGGTTTTGCGGCGAACCTGCGCAGCAAAAACTCTTCTAAAAACATCAAAAATTGCCCAGGCAGGCTGCGGCACGGCATGGGATTTCAAGGCTACTCACTCTGGAGGCGATTCTTTACGCCGGCCTACAGCCTACTTTGCCAACTTTGCATCCGGCTTGGCAACAACAAACATATAATTACATTCTCACAACCGATCCAGATTCAAGTTGAATGTATGGTGAGCATACATACATAGAGAGAGAGGGTTGGAGCCACCCACGGCCACCATACCTTTCTGCCGTCTCTTGTGCGATAGTTCTCGGCAACCGAATGCACCTCCCAAATCCTCCAAACAAATAAATGTCCATCTGAACACCCACTGCCTTCCATCGGTGCCCCAAATGAGATGGCAACCGAGTCGAAGCTCCTGCATCCAAGCATGCAAGTGGAACATGTCTGCTGATGCCTGCTGTCTTCGCCGTAGCTTGCATTGGAACTCTTCCCTACCATCACGTGGTCGATGCCACCCATGAAGGGTTCAGTTGTCGGTCTGCGCAGGTTCCTCGATCGACCTTTGACGCCACAGGCTGAGGCCTGTGGTGGGCGCTCCACAGTGAACACAGCGAAAATAGAAGACACAAAGATGTTGTGTGGTGTGCTGTCTTCATTGTCAGCTTGTTCGAATACACCAAACAAATCCACCAGCTTTCCTCATGTTTCGTCGAATGCTCCATCCGTTTTCGAGGGCGTCATGCACCGTGAGTTTCGTCCGATTCGCGCAGTCCGAAACATCGAAATGGACTGACGAGGTGCGCAGTCTTGACTTGATGTGGTCATTGTGTACAGTCATCTCACTGTGGTTTTGTAGACCCACATCTAAAATCACCATATAGAATAAAGCCACAGGCTTTCCATTCGGTGGCGGGTGGCGGGCGTTTGGTGTTTGTGGTGGTGGGTGGGGTTTGCAATCCGGATGTGATTGTGATTGCTCACACTTCTGACAATTCCAGCTCTAAAGGCCAAGCATGTTAACCCCAGGTGGTCATGGGACATCATTGGGCCACTTTTAGCACTGCATTAGTGCCTTAAGTACTCCTAGTACTCCTCTCCAGTTTGATACGGACCACAACCTTGCAGCCTTTGCCTTTAGAATGCCTTTCGCATCCGTCGTAGCCCTTAGCGTCGTCGCTTCGTCGCGGTGTCGCCCGAGTCGCTGATGGCCGCCGCCGAGCTCCGTGAGGGGAGCTGAGTCACCTCGGAGCGGATCGGAACGGTGACGTCACCGATTCCCAACTGATGTTCCGCACACGGTGAGGAGGAATTGCTGAGGAATTGGGCCGTTGGGCCCATCGAATTTCTGGAAAAAAAACACCTGCGGTCTTACAACACCTGTCCCCTGTTGCTGCCAACATTCCCTGCACGAGAAAAAGGGTGGCAACATCTGCCTGGTCTCATTTGGGCGATGTTTGCTTTGGATCATCCACACTGTTTGGTTGTCCCATTCTGCCATCATGTGCAACCTATGAATCACATGCAACCCACCTGGGCGTCCCTGGCCACCTCACCCAGGGCTTTTCTCCATTCTGCAGGACCAGCATCGCTACCTGGCCAGACGACCCCTTCGGACCCAGTGTGGCTCCAAAGCAGTCCAACTTGTTTAGGGTATAGGTAGCTCTGGAGAAACGATGTGCAGTCCTTAAGGCAACGATTTGGAAGGTTGAGTCGAATGGGTTAGACTCGCATTTCTCACATTTTCCTGGGACGGATCATTCTAGAACATTCTATTCGGGGACAGTCCGGTCTGACCAGTGTGAAATTCATGTATCAAGCCATGCCTTTCATGCCTTGCCTGCAGACCCACAGCAAACACGAACTGCTTGGACCCCTCCGCTCCCCGGAGCTGCTCGCGGGCTCGCGGTGTCGCACCGTAGGGCACGCTGCTTTCTGAGATCAACTCGCCCGCTTGATTGAGGCAGGCCTCAGGTTGACAAAGATCGATTTATGCATTGAAGCAACCACAAAACAACAATTGGCATTGACTGTGGGCCAAAGCAAATTGCTTGTATAGTTATTATATTAATTATGTGAATTATGCATATATATATATACAGTATATTCTACTGATTATGTTCAACATTGGCCAACCCTGGTCAACTTATATAAATATTGACTAAGATTTACATAGATTTACCACCCTCCAAAAGTGGGTCGACCGTGCACGTCCCAGCAGTGGACGTCCTCGAAAAAACGATCCCGCTGCCGACCTGATCATATTCGCCCCCACCACAAACCGCAACTGCACCTGGTGCAGTCGAACGACCATAATAATTCCCAACCCAACCCAACCCACCCAGGTCACACTGAAACCAAGAGCCAGGGCCACTGAGCATCACAGAACATGCAAACATACCTCCAACATACCTGGGAGCGAGAATACCAACAATTTTAATGCAAGTTCTTGCTTTGAGGACGTCACCGCACCCGCTAGCCACGCCACAAAGGAACGGACCGTCTGACCCGGCTACCAGGTCGCCCGAACCCGCGTTTCACCCGCCACCCTGCACGGACCCAGGGCTCGCACGACGCCAGCGTCACTCACGAATCGGTTTGCTGCCATGCCACAGCCCGGCAGCCGGAGGTTCCAAAGTCCACACCAATGAAGACCTTGGAAACCAGGGCTTTGGGGACGCAGGCAAGGTGTCCGGAAAAAACATGTCAGTCGGGTTGATTCAACACCTCTCCGGTGTGTGCTTTACTTGGCATGACCAGTCAGTCCTGTTTCGCTTTGGGGTGATCGGGACGATTTGGCCGAATATCGTACCATGTTATTGATTGTTTTAGGGTCCTATAGCCTATATAGGTGCTGCAAGATGGCAAGATTTGCTTCATCCTTCCTGGTCAACATTTTTTTGTGCTCAACGTATGCTTAGTTTGGTTCGGTTTCAAAATGTGATTTCTCTTTATTCCTGTGCAAGTTGTGCAGGATTGGATTTTGTTTGAGTCAAAAATAGGCCTGTGACAATGCAGCGAAGCACTGGGGCAACCTGACCAATCACCAAACATTTGCCACGATTTGGCGGCCACTCGCTGCTGCAAAGATTTCCTGGATGTCTGTATTGCATTAGTTGACTCATGTAGTTCTGTAACTACTCTTTGAAGTCTCGTTATATAGTCTTTGTCTCTCTCCGAAAACTGTCCCAATACTTGACGTCGTTGTTTGTGGCCTCCACTTCGCAAAAGGAAAAAAAACACTCCACCCCAACCGCTGGAGCGGAGCCTACCGAGGCACAAGCCTTCTCGTCAGACCCTGACGCAGTGTGAAGTTCTGGGTGAGAAATGAGAAACAAAACATTCAAATACCACATCAAAAGGGAGGTGAGGGATGAGAAGGCAGGAAGTCTCAGCAAAACAATGACCACCATCCTAATCTGCATTCCAAAACAGCAGGAACTTCTGAAGGACCGAAAGGATCCTCTTGATTTGAGACTCTCAGGACGCAGGTTTGACGGGGCTTATCAAAATGAGCACGCCCACGAAAGTAATGCTTATACATATATATAGTATTGTCCTCACAAAGCATACCCCGGCCTAACCCGTGCACCTTGCAATCATCGTAAATCATGTGTCTATCACCATCTGTCCACCCAAACATTTATGGTAAGGAGGTGCTCCTGCGAGCTTGGCTACTCCCGAGTGCCTATTAAAAAAACGGATCCTAGTTAAAAAAATCATGTCGGATCCCCCTAAATGCGGTTTATATTTGTTTTTAAATTATTTGTTTTTAAATTACCGCCCTTTCAAGCCGCTACTAAACTACCAACATGGCCGGTTTTGGGGGGGGTTTTTCTTATTAGGTTCCCGAAACAACCGTAATTGCCCACCTCTGTCCGCCCTGTCTATCCACCATGACACGCCGCGCTTACACCAGCAGGCTTTCCTTCCCCCAATGGCACGGACTCACGCAAACGCACTTGCCACCGAGGTCATGCAACACCGCATGGCACAGCGACATCACCTTTCGAAAGCTTTTGCTGTTAGTCTACTGAAGAATCACTATTCTAATGAAGGTTTTTGTAGGGGAAAAGGAAGACCCTTCGATCTGGAGGTTCTTTTTGCATTTTTGATACGAGTTTAATAGAGGATTCTATATAAAGTTTTCCTCGATTACTTTTTGGTTTTGAAACTCTTTCCAGGTGACCCTATTTTGGACCCCCTGATTTCAGGGACCCCCTATTAGAAACAATGCCACCGAGGTTTCCTTATTAACGGGGGGGGGGCCTCGTGTTGTTTAATAGGTGGAAGGGATTACTTGGAGAAACTTGACTTGATCCTTCTTTGAAGGCAAGCCGTCAGGTGTCCTGCGGAAAACAACAACGTTTTCTTCGAGATCAACTTGGCATCAGCTTCCACCAAACCGAACACTTGGGCTTGGAGGCTAGTAAGGCAATGGATAAGGTTATCTTCCACTTCTCTAGTTGCCTGGAAGGTCTACTTTGATCGGCGGCTGGAGCTACTTTTCATAGTCCTTTGGCGCAGGCTCGCTTCTCTTTGGCTCGATGGGCCAAGTGGGTGGATGAACCCCGCAGCCAGCTCTGGTGGTTCCGAAACAGGCACTGAAGCAACATACTCAGTGCTAAACAGGGTTTTGCACGAGACTTAGGGGATCGAGGGGACTGCGATAAATTCTATAATATTGCATGCAATTACCATTACATACAAACTGAGACAAGACGGATCAATAGGGTGCACTACAGTATAACACTTCAGTTCGGCTACCAGACTACCAGACTATGTCAATGGCACTGGTGTTTACCTCCAGAGTTCACAGCCGAGATATTTTCTCTGAATAGTTGCATCACACAAGGATATGGCTGGTGCTTTCGTATGGATTTCTGAGGTGTTTGACTCTTCTGCGTGCCGGGCTGCTGTGCGGGATCGGTGTCGGTTGACCCCCGAGGGAGCGGTGTAGCACGGGTACTGTGAATATCTCATGCTACACTGGTCGCGTACTATATCCCATATACAGCTCACAAATAAAGCCTTTGCGTATAAAATGCTGTAGGCAGTTGCGTTTGGTCGGAGTCGAGAGGTTTTCCCTTTGTCCCACAAATGTTTCATTGGCATCGGAGTGGTTGCTGAGGCTTGCGTATTCCAGCCATATACAGCCTGTACCCAGGAAGGACAGGCGCATGCACACATGTGTATCTGGTCAGCCTATAGTATCTAATAAAACACCTCCACTTCATTGGTTGAGTTCCGCTTTTAAGCTTCTGGTCCACCATGCACGAACCACCTATCATGTGGCATGTGGCGGCCTGAGGTCAAATCACGCGGCCTCTCAGAGGTCCACGCAGATTTTTTAAAAAGAAGTCTGGACTTACTAGGCTCATCGGTGAGACACTGTGGCAGCCAAAGAAAACGTGTTCGGGTGTTTAATCAACAGCTTAAACAATCCTGGATGCACAGTCGTGCCTTTTGTGTGTCCCTCCCATGCTTGTGCAACTTCAAACGCCTCACAGTTGTCCTCACCACGCGAACAAAGCTGAAAACATGATCCCTCACCTTTGTGGATTCATCCATGGCCTTCTCTCACAAGGACAATCTTCGAGATCGCATTCCCTGATCAGCCCAGGGTGAGGACATCTGGTCGGTGTTCTGGGGTTGAATTCGTCGCGGAAGCCACGGTCTTCATTCCGTGCCTGAGAGGTTTATATGGTTTTGACGATTGACTTAATAACTTACTATATATATAGAGTTAATTCAACCAAATCCTGTCCATCTCGGTGGACCAAGAAGCAACTCGCTGATAATATAGTCCAATAATATTTCATGTATTGAATTACCGAAATTGTATTGATATGGTATGAACAGCTTTACATAATTCATCATCCGTGGCAATCAATCGCTCTGACCGGCCCAACCCCAATTGATCCTTCGGATCAAGGGCGGCTCGCGGAACTGGCGAGGTCCGCCCAAACGGTTCGGCGGAAGAAATCCTGAACTCCTGCCATCTCCCAAGAATTCCTCTAAGACTGAGCCGTGACTAGGCCAACCAGTTGGTCCAAAGGCTGACCGTACTTCAAGTGTTGTTCAGCTCTGGTCTCAACGCCAGTGCTCGTAGTTGTCAGAAGATTTGGGCTTCCCCAAAGCCTGAGCCTTCTAGATCTCTTCAGAATGACCCCTTGATACCTAGCTTGAACTTGAGGTGGCTTGACCCACACAGTTGATATTTAAAGTATGCATGTTCAGAAAACTTGAGGGATCTGACAAAGGTCACTTAAGTCGCGTTCAAGATCTTTGAAGAACATCCGCTTTCCTGAGGAATTTGTATCCTCCAGTCGGCTCATGTCACATGTCGTTTTTGGTCGCCTGCGGAGCGAAAGTCACGCGATTTGGTCGTAAAAGTTGCTGTGGCATCCATGACCGCAGGTCAAGTGATCTAGATATCGATCGATGCTGGGAAGGTGGCGGGATTTCCTGTCCCCCTAACGGAAAGTACACATGAGAACCCCTTTCTGGTCTCTGGTCCGGACGATTTTGCTGAAGCTTGTCTTGCCCGCTGGCAACGCAAGTGGTGCTTTTTGACTGAATCATGCACCACAAGTAAGCATATGACATGTTGTCTCAACATGTTTGAAGATCTCTGAACTTCAAAGCAGCCTGTGAACTCCCCAGAAGCTGTTGGGAACGAAGACCCCCGGATTTTGCTCATACAGCCCCTCCTGTGATAAACATTGTCCCCTTTGCCTTCATCATTCAAAATCATTCAAATCAAAGTGATGCCACGACGTTGGTGATTTAATGACTCAACAATTATACTATATATAGCCATTCCTCTGCCCTTGCATCTCAGAACCAACTAACACTGAAGGTTACCAGCACTTCCTGATGTCCAAACACAAACCACAAAGCACATCTGCCAAATCATGCCACCTTCCGAGATCATCGGTCGATTCTCCTCAGGTTATTCCAACATCGGCCACATGACTTCCATGCCACGCTGCAAGACATGCCAACAATTCCTTTTGCCAGGGGATCCATGTTATACTGGTTCGTGGTTTCAACTAACTTCAAACAAAAAGTCGCTAGATCATCCCAGGTCCGAAGTATAGGTTGAAAATAAACATATCTGCAACCGAACACCCAGCACTATAATGGTGAACATCCAAGAAAAATACATAATATATATAATGAAACAAGCGAAGGGCATCCAAGCCCAAGCTAGTGCCTGAAAAACACAAAAAATGGAATGGTGCTCAACACTCAGCTTCCCATAATAGGAGGTTCAATGAAGCTCGGCAAATGATGTCTTTCCCCTCATTTGGACCAAACCGACCGCCCAAAACCCCAAGGCACTCCTGTTTTGCACCACGACCCCGGACTGCCTGTCGGGATATTGGGTTTTGGATTACCTTTCGGTTCTCCGAAGGAGCCATAAGCCTTTGACGACTACTGCTTGGATTAGGATTCCGAGGGCCAAACTCCTGCGCCACGAAAAGAATCCCGACTCCCTCTTCCAAACGTGATCTGCACTGTGAGGGGCATCTATCTAAATAGGGTTACAAAAAACTTTCATATGGTAAGGCCAGAATCCTTGATTTAAAAAAAGAGTCGAAAAAAAGTCAAGTCAACTGGAAAAATCAAAGTCAAAAAAAGTCGAACGAAAAAAGTCGAACGAAAAATAACTTAAACAAATAAATGCTGAAAACAAGTCAAATAAACGTCAAAAACAAGTCAAAAAAAAACAAAAAAAAACACGTTTAACAAAAAAAGTAAACAAAAAGTCGAAAACAAGTGCCAAAACAAACGTCGAAAAAAAGTCAAAACAAAGTCGGATCTGGGCAAATTGACTTTGTTTGACTTTCTGAAATTTTCTGATTTGATGTTTTTTTGACTTTGACTTTTGGGATTTATTTTTTTTGACTGTTGTAATGCATTTTTTTAAGATTTAGAAAACAGGCTCTTTCCAATGACAGTTTTTTATAAAAATAGGGCTTTTGCACGGCAAGTGGCTCAATCTGTCGTTCAAAGAGGGTCAACACGTTCACATGTTCCACTTCTCAACCGCTCGGCTCACGAGCAGCACGCGTATTTATATGGACCACCAAGGAGCCTCTTGTGGAGCCAGCGGGGCCAGGTCTTCCTTGGATCAGCATCAAGCACCAGCTGCAGCAAAAGAATCTCCAAAACAAGTTCAAACTCTATAGACAACAACCAATAGCAGGACACTCACTCACCCCAGCAGGATTCTATAAATAGATTCTATAAGTTTCACCAGTGGCCGTTCAACATCTACAAGTACAGGGCTGCTGGAAATGACTCTATCCATAATATGAATTAATGGTATGTTTATCTTAATTAATGAGGCATTTCTATTCCAGGATTACATGTATCTTGTTAAAATTCATGGTATTTGGTATCTTATCATTACATTTCATGGTAATTTTGGTAATCAATAGTTTATTCATTCATTGTTTTATATTATATACTATTAATCCTCTCACATAACATGTCTTTTGCATCTTATTATTTCATGCCCAGCATTTCCGTATTTACTATTTACATGTTATATTTATTCTATCTTAATGAAATTGCTATATTAATATTGGTCTTTCCTTGCGATTACATCTTATATGAATAGGAAAGACATACAGAAATGAATAAAGAACACCAATATGAATAAAACTGTAGGACCCTTCAATCTCATTTTCATTTCTTTATTCTATTGTGTTCTTTATGTTTATCGGCAGCCATTATTGGTCAGCCTATTATTGTTCTTGGCTGCCATATGTTAATAAGAGATGGACGATTGTGAAAATAAAACATATCTTTGCTATATCTATTGGCATTCTATCTATATCTATTATCTATGGGTTCTTTCTTAATGATAATGCGTGTAGAAATATCTTACTTAATCTGTGCCTGTGGATTTCTTGGTCCATCACATGTACATACACCGTGCCCCTGGCACTTCCTCCTATTTGTGGTCTCCATATGTCCCCATCTGATCGCCCTGGCCATCCCTGCCGGAGGCTCTGGCATGGTCCCTGGGACCGGCGGCAGCACAGGGCAAACCGTCTCTGGTGGCGCAGCCTGCGGCGGAGTGGCATGCGACTGGGCCTCAGCGACGCGTCGCGTCGATGACCGCACCACCTTGTCGGAAAACCAGAGTGGAGCTTCGACACCATAGACTCAGTTTTCTGTAGAAGCTGGCTGGCAGGCTTCTGAAGCTTGACTTTGAGAGCCCAGAAGCTGAGAATGCGCTGATCTGGCTTTCCTTGCTGCCGGTTTTGCCTTAGGGCTGGGCGCACTGCAGAGACGCCCCTGCAGAGCACTGAACCTTCTTGGCTGGTGAGCCGGATGGCGTTTTTCCAACTTCGCATCTGAGAAGGCTCGATGTCAACCCCTGAGAAGGCTCTATAGATGTCTCATACGAGTCTGAAGCACAGGTGGGCTCAAGGTGATTTGAGCCGGCCTCGTGCACATCGAAGGATGGGAACAAACATGCACAACCACCGACCACACCTGTGAAAGGACCCCAAAGACCCAAACAAATTTCAGCAAAGACATAAATACACACTGACTGACAGTCACATCAATATTGATTCACAGCAGCCTGCTTGAAACATTATGCTACATTCCTCAGAATCGGCAAGCAGGTGTTGGCAGCCCCTCCTTGTCAAAACATGCCAATGAAATAGCATGATTCAATATTCATTAATTTAATCTTTCTTCAATATGTTTCAAAAACTAGAGTATGACATCCGCAGTCAAAATGTCCTTGCAAATCAGGAGCAAACTTCATCAATTCATTTCTTTCGCCCAGAACCGCAGAACATGAAGAACCCTCCGCCCGGTGGCCCTCTTCTGCAAAGCTTCGATAGCTCACAGGTGGGGAGTTGAGACGCCGCAACTTGGAAGCCTCGATGCGACGTCGAACCCGCCCGTTCGGCGGTTCTTGGATCACGGTGGGACGGCGGATCGTGGAATGATCGTGTCCAAGCAAGGCATCCAACGTTCAGCGAAAGCGACGCGACTCTGGTCCCTGAGCCCAAGCCTGCATCAAAATCCCGCGGCGCGCAGCCATCCGGACGCAATGGTGCCGCACGATCCTGGGCGTGATAAAGCTAGATTGGCTTGCGCTGCTCAGCTATACATGCCATATCATAGACGATTCACAAGTAGGCCTCAAACTATAATATATATATAATATAACATTAACGTATATCTAGTGTATATATCGTATGTTCAAAACAATATATATATAAGCATTCGCCCTTACTAGGTATCGCAACCAAAAGGAATCCAACCTGCAGTTCAAAGCTGCCTAAGCTCAAAACATTCCAGCTCCCTGTCTGCCCAGGCGCAGCTTCAGCTGTGGACATGTGGTTGCACGCCGCTCTACAACACCAAAGAACTTGGCCCCCGTCAAACAAAGCACCTCCAAATAGGTCCTTGGAAGATGCGCCAGATTTGTGCTGCACCCTACTGTAGGACGGCCGGATGACCCGCATATGGCATATATTGGCATATGAACCTGCACTGTGGATGATGACGACGTCGCCTAAATTCCCCCCCGAACCTCGTTTTGTGGTCCACTGATATCAAGTGTTATCTCGAGCTCCCACATGTCGGAGCCAAGTTGACCTGTGGCACGTGCGGTGTTACCGTTACAAGATACTACAAGGATGAAAAGGACAAATAGCATACAGTAGCTACTAACCTACCCCATCCGGTGGGCCTCTACTCCATTGCCCCCCCCCCAAACAAAGCCCACGAAGGGTGGTCCCGTCTGGTCCCAGCATCAGTGCGTAGGCGGAGGTCCGGCGGATGAGTTCTCGATCCGCCAGGACGAAGTCTTCACCCCAAACGGAGCCCACCAGGGCCACCCGACCTCGATGGGCGGTTGGGACGAGGGGGAAGATGACCCAGAGAGGAGTCGTCGGAATTGGACGTTCGCCGCCTCTCTTCCTGGCAAAAGACGGTGGTGGTGGTTTTGGTCCAAAGACCCACGTTTGCAAAGGTGGGGCCAACGTGAAGCACACGTGATCCCACGAAGCAGCGAGCAGTTATGGGTAAGTACAGTACGTTCAACTCTTCCAATTGCAGCAACCAACGGCGCCACGTTGCTTGCAATTTCACAACGACGAGAGATCCGATAGAGTCTATCTGATAGAGACCGAGGTAACAGGTGATTGATGGCATCCGTGAACTCCATCTGAGGAGTTCACGCCTCCAGCTAACTTTTGGGCAAGTTGCTGTTCAAAACAACCAGGCCCTTTGACAAGATGTAAAGCACCTGAGTTCCACACGCGAGTTCAGAAGTAAAGAGTTCCAAGTTCAATGAACTCCTAGGCACTGACAAGCTAGCTTAGGAGCTCTACAGTTCCATGGAGAGCCGTATCCAAACTTCCAAACCCGACTTCAACAAGTCTGAAGAAGGATGCCTGTGCGTCGAAGACGACTCAAACGAAATGCACCAGCCAAACCGGCGGTTCTCCACCTCTTCGGGCCTGACCAAGTGGGATGGGGGAGGGGGGAAAGGTAATACCAGGTATGCCGAATCAATCCCCACACGTTTGGGCGACTCTTGCGACACCTTTTGAGACTGCGACACCTTTTTCCAGGGTACTTGAGATTCTCCAAACATCTCCTGCTGAGCATATGCCACGGAGTCCATGTGGTGCGCAATGTCAGCAATACAGGCTCGGTAGGGATCGGTATTGATTCCACTTTGCTCTTTGATGTCCATCACCTGGCGACCGGTCCAAAGTCACGATCGCCGGGGAAGCCCTGGTAGGCACTGCTTCAAGGCCGATTCGCACATTGGCTTCAAGGCATCTGGATCCGTCAAACCGCATTTGGGCAGGGAGGGGAGACTGTAAGTGCGGAGGTTTTTGCCTCGCCTGTAAGGATATGTTGTAGCAGGTTTGTGACTCACAAATCAAACATGGCAATCATGAAACTGACAACGCTCACTCTAGGCACTGGCCATTGACAAAATGTGAACAACTGGACACCTGCCCAATGTGCAAAAAGTGGCCTTGATAAATTCGCGGAAGAAGGGGACTTTCAGCAGCCACTGCCAATTCCTCAATTGCAAATTCCTCCGGGTTCACTTCAAAAAACAACAAAAAATCGCTTGAACACTCGACGAGCTAACCGAACACTCAGTAAGCGGCTGAAGAAGGACCCGACTTCTCACCAACGGGGAGAAATCGAGACGACTACTTCTTGTTACTAATAGCGTCCTTGTTACTACTAGTAAGGCACCAGTTACTACTAGCGTGGCACTTGTTTCTAGTAGCGTCCTTGTTACTACTAGCTCTTTGAATGTTTGTTGCTTGAGATGCACTCCCGGGATTTAACATGGAAGTGGATGGCATGGCCCCTTGGAAAACCATTTTCCTCTACAGGAAGTGCAAGCTCGTCGCCCCAGCATGCTTGATAGGGTATGTCTGGAACTGTCCGAAGCCGCGGCGCAGTGTGATCGAGACTTCGGATTGCAGTTGCGGACCTTGGCACATGTCTCATATCGAGTCATAAGGGTGTGGGTGTGACCGTCGTGAATACAACATGATCTGATCGAAACCAGTTTCACGGCAACAAGCTCAATCCTTCAGTGCAAACCTCAAACACACCCTTTCAACCTCTCTTAAGGGTGCGCGCCACCCAGGGAGGCACAGAATGATTGAGTGACCCTAAATTGAGTGACCCTAACTTGAGGCGATCACAAGCATCGTCGCACTGCGAGAGGTTTGCGGGGAATCTGTTTCCACGGTTTCGGTTCGTATGTTGGGTGTGGTGGTTTGTTACTTTTCTGCTCGTGACGTGGTGCATGTGCACTGCGCGAGGAGGGTGGTCACAGCATGTCACAGCTGGTGAAAGTGGAACTTGTCAACATCGGTGGTTCGTCTGAACATACAGTTGGCAGGGTGAAAACATCGGACCCGCCAGGTGGGATGTTTTCACGGATGGTGAGCAGGCGGAGTTGCTAGTGACACCTAGAGGCGCCGGTCACCGGGGAGCTGTGACGTGACCCGTGGGCTGCGAGGACGTGACCCGCGAGGTGAGGTGGTTTCACGGCTGAGGTGCCCCCTTTTCATTGCTGGATTATGCTGGATTGGTCTGGCTGGTGAGCTGGTGACCGTGCGCTACGCTAGAAGCGCTGAAGCGCGAAGGCCAAGTGTGTGGAGAAATGGAGGATGGTCTGTTCACTGCAACCATACCAACCGCCCTGCGAGCAAGGGAAACCGGCAGGGGGTGAAGGGAGAGAACCCTCTTCAGTGCTCATTGATGCTGGACGCCCAACCAACTCAGCCCCTGAGCTTTCTTGAACTTTGCAACATGAAACTCTAGATCTGTTCAAGCGACCCATGTGAAGCTTGGCATGATCGCATGGCTGTGGTTTCATGATCGCATGGGCGTCTGATTCTTCTGCTGAATGAGGACTGCTTGACGCTAGGTCCAAGGGGCTCATGGTCGTCAGCAGCTTCTGATCCCTCGCCTGAAGAAGCCGTGGTAACCACTGGAGGAAGCGCAGCGAGGATTAGCTACTGAAAACAGTTATTGACCCTCAAAGATTTTCGGTCCATGTTCAGAGACATGAGATTCCTCTCCAAGCCGCTTCGGCCCACAATCGAATCTGTATGGCCCAAAACTACACATTCCATTCCCCTCCTTTCCCTCCTTCCCGAACGTATAACACCCAGTCTTGCTTGCCTCTGCACCTTGTGGGTATATGTACGGCCGTTATGTAAATATATGTCCAATGCTCAAAGCATGCGTAACTCTTTTTTTTTGAGCCCGTGACTTTAGAACAAGTGGCTGGCCCGTCCGCCAAAGACCTGAGAACAAGTCCAATAGCGCTATGAACATGAATTGCTATATACATCATTATACATCTATAACAATATGTGATTATATATGTACACCATATATACAAAAATATGACATATATATATATATATATGGTACATACTTGTATGATGTTGTACGCATCCCACTCAGCGCATGGATTCCCTACGTCGGGCCCATGCCTTGGAAGCAACGCATAGGCTCACTGTGGAGTGTTCAAACGGCATGGTCCATGGTCAATATAGTCCAGTGTTCAATTGTAATGCTTTTATGTAAATGTATGCTGGTAGATATATAAGTCTCATAATAATTGAAGAAAAAAACAAATGCTGATGCCATCTATCGAAGCTACATGTCATAGTTCATGAACTCTGCGTGCTATCTAGTTACAGTATTTGGTACATCATAAAAATATGTCTCCAAAATAGCAAGTGCTGCAACGGGGCAGAAACTGGCGCAAGCGCACCCTTGCAGACTGAGTTGCAAATTGCGCCTGGTGCTTGTTTGACAAGAAGAAGCTCCGCAAGCGGCGCCGCAGCTCTTGAGGGAGTCCTTGCTCCTCGAGAATGCGGTGGTGACGGAGGCCCGATCGGCTGGCACAGGGGTTGGATCAGTCCCAGCCCTTGGAAGCAAATGTGGAATCATCCAAACCCTGCATGATGACCCCGTGGCTGGGAGAAAGCCTGGCTGGAACGACTTCGTGCTGACCTTCAGCAATCCCGCCGGTTGCGAAGAGCAACCGTTAATCACTGGGATCTTGCTACAGAACCATATGTTCCACCCATGCCATCATATATCCAAAAAAGTGCAGTCAAATGTCTTTGTTGAAATTTCCACGATTGTGCGTAAAGTCTTGGCACACACTCATGACTCATGACACCACACATCAGCCTTCACCAGCAGCTCCAAGTGTTTTGTGTTGTGGGATGTCGTAAGCTAAGGCATCTCCATGTGAAGTAGGATGGCTATTGCTATCATCTAGTCCTCGGTACCTGAGCTGTCACCCGAACATGTCAGGAGAAGTCCATCGAGAGGGTCCTGCATCATCTTGTTGAGACCATTCATCATCTTGCGGAAACCTCAGTGCGACACCCCCGGAGACAGGGGCCGGGGTGGCAAGAATACCTCAAAAACTACCTCATTATTTGTTTTAGTTGTATATATATATATATGTTGGTTATATTATGATTATGGTAGAAAGCACGTGCACTTACGCTCCAGGCCGCTGAATTGGCCAATCAAAACAACTCGGATTTGAGATGATATCTTCCAGTTTTCTGGTCGTTTATTGGGTTGAACAATGTTTAACACCTTCCGTTGAACTGTTGAACATGGACATGAACGAAAAGGGCGCTCGATCCGGGATCGAAGGGCCGGCCAAGGGATCGAAGGGATTGGTGAAGGGCGCTTCTCAAAGTGCTCAGATCGTCACAGCCGAAGCGGGTCCCGCGGCATACACTCGAATAAGGACAATACATCAATGCTGGCTGGCACAGGCTGCCAGCACCCGATTCAACACCATATGGTCACGTGTCCAATTGTCAAGCAGCTTTGCTTCTCTGCATTCATATCTGTCACAATGGCTCCAACTTCTCCAAGGATGTATGCCCAGCAAAGGCCCGCCACCAGTACAATGACGGTGCAAGTGACGCGCTCAAAAATGTTCCTGAAGTGCAGCTTGCCCCTCTGGCTCGGCAAACAGGCCGGTCGTGTACAGCTGCCAGTTAGCCGATAACTTCGATAACCCCAAATTCAAGAGGACATGAAAAAGACTAAAAGTTAGTTACCCACGCCCAACGTCCACTCTCGGGAAGATCTGATCGTCAAACAAACAAACAGGCACCAGCACGTCCAAGTGTGGATGAATGGATGGTTTACAAAGACTTGAAAAAATTGCGTCGCAGGGCTCGGGAAATGTCAGCCGCCCCTCAAGCAGTGCCTGGACATGGGGTCTGCCTGTCTGCTGGAATGGTTAGGTTTCCAGCATAGCTACTAAACTTCCATTTGGCCTTTTCTGTCATGTTTATCACTGCTTATCTGTGCTCAAAGTATATCACATATACATGATTATATCAGCTCATATTCGCACAAATTCTCCACACATTGACGCCCTTTCTTTGTTTGGGTCACTGAGGATCTGTGGGCCAATGTCGCCATATCCCACCGAGGTCATGGTGTAGCTGCAAAAGTAGAAGGCCGCGATATAGATTCCTCACTCGAGGCACAAAGGTGAGGGAAGAAAGAACTCAATACGCAACTATATACGGACAAACATGGGATGTTTGAGCTACAGAACCCTTTTGTTAGTCAAGTGATCTTCCAACAAGTGTGCACCCTCGGGGAAAAGAAAGAACATGAAAGAACACAAAACTCTTGCAACCTGACCAGGACCATACCAGGGCAAACGCAACCGCCGCTCGCGTTGGGTTTTCTTCACCCAATGGGTGGCCAAACCGGGGATGGTGCAACCAATGGATTCTGTGAGTCAAAACCTATGGAGAGCATGATGGATCTGGATGTCAAGCATAGAGCAGCTATACCATCTGCACGACTATCCGAACGCAAAAACAATTTGTACTCACAACTTGCTTTAGCTACAGCTATGTGACATCTCAGCACATGCAAAACGCACTAGCTGGGTGGTCGTTTGGAGGCCCACTGGAAAAAAGCACAGCCACCTGATGAACGGGTCCGAGGTTGTTGGTCGGCAAACATGTTGTTCAGCTTTTTTGAATGGGAACATCCATAAAAACTATCCACTACTTGTCTTCCAAAGTCAGGTCACACCCCGAATCGCCGAAGGAGCTACTATTAAATAACTTAACAATCAATGACATTGACAAATAATCAATAATCCCTCCCCCAATCTTCCAAGAACTTTGAATGTTCTGACAAAACCAGGCGCCAACACCCATGCTGCTAGTACCTGGTTCCAACATGTTCCAGCCCACATCTACCGCCCATACTCCTCTTCGCTCCCCTCTTCTTCCTCTGCGCGGCGGATCTCGGAGGTCCGTGTGTCGATGCCGAAGGCCAAGTCCGCATCGGCGATGCTGTCAATCCATTTGGGATAGTAACCTGCGATGCGCTCCGAACCCAGTCGCTCGGTCCGAACTGGCCGGCGGCGGCCAGTCGAAAATGAGGTTATCGGCGCTGAAGAGAAGGCACGTCTTGTGAACATGTTGTTCAATTGTTGACCTTTGCCAGCCAGGTTGGCTTGGCAACCTGGTGGTGCTGTGGCATTCATTTGAACAAACGCGATGCCACAAGTCCTATAACGGTTTCAACACGTTTCAAGAGTGCACAGCCATGACGATGGGATTTCGATAGAATATGTGGACAGCAAATGCAAAAGTATTTCACACGTGCAATGGCCACGGTTGAATCCTGAAGTGTTGAGGTTTGTCTGACAAGTCTCCCGATATTGCCAGCTCCATATTTGGCCAGGCAGCTGTCAGCCAAGTTTAAGGTCATGGCCCACAGGCAGGCCATCCAGTGGCAAACCTGAGATTGGTTCATATCATCGCCCGTGACACGATTGGACCGAATCGACAACGTTGCACACCGAATCGAAGAGAGTAGAATGACCAGCAAAATCTCTCTGAAATGGCAGCCATCGGGTGTCTTTCTTGGGGTGTTCAAAGGAAGAAAGTCACTTTTTTTTTCTGAAAAGGCCTGGCCATTACATTTCACTCCTGGCTCCACCTTCTTCTTGGATTCAAAACTATGAACAACGCGACCTGTTTCCTGATGTTGAGGCCCCGCCCCCCACGGCTGGGCGAAATCAATGAACCCACATGTCACATGTGGATCTCTTGCTAGGCACGCTGCTCAAGAATTAACAACAACACACATATGCGATGGCAAAGCGGTGCCGTCGCAAGCCACATGGTAGGCCAACAAGCAAACAGGATCAAACAGGCAATAACAAAGATGATGATCATCCTTTGTTCAAACTGATTTAATGTGGATTTCCCCATGTTCCATCCTCTCAAAGTCATTGCGCCAAGACCAAGATCAGGAGAAATCGGATGAGCGCCATTTGTTGATATGGTATGTGGAGTGTGACCTCCAGCTTGTGAATCCTCAGGGCAAGGATTCCGTGCGTGCTTCCATGTGCTTCGTCCACACGAATCCGGAAAAGTGGTGGGCACGAACACCTGCAAAGGGTTTTTGTGTCTTTTGCCAGGCCTCGGGGGGGTGCCTACTCACTTTCGCCCATGAGGGGTTGGAGCTGCTCTTCGACAAGAACGAGGTGTGCAAAATTCCATACTTGCACTCTCGGGTGCTCCATGTCTACAAGGACTCCGGCAGTTTGGGCGTCGGACATGAATTGGACTGAATGAGAAAAACAACAAACAAAGACCAATCGGAACAGAAAATGGTGCTAGAACATGGCGTGTGGATCCTCCATCACTGCATCACCTGGAAGTCAAAATAATTACACATAATCTCGGTTTCCAATAGCCAATAGGAATGGCCTCCACCCTAATGGTGATGGCATCCAACCTAAGTGCGATGGCCTCACACCTACTAGCGATGGCCTCAAACCTAATGACGATGGCCTCCAACCTAATAGCTGTGGCCTCCGACACTCCTACACATAATTTGTGTTGTTTATGTAAATAACTGTTTACATCTGTTTGCAGTGTGTCCACCTTTCCCTTGAAATACATTCTGGCACCGTCGTTGATATGGTCAAAAATAGTTCACGAACCAACTCCTCCTCTACTGTTCAAATGACTTATCTCTTTCTTGGGTCCCCACCCCATGGTTCAGCAAAAGCCAAATATGCAATGTCCATCTATGCCCCTACCATCCCCCAAAAATACAAACTCGCAACGTCGCGGTGTGGTCGGGTGGTGTAAAAAAAACGCTGCTGCATGCCAGACTTCTTCATGAGATGAGGTATACCGAGAATCAGTTTGGAGGTGCGAAAGATCCGCATGAGCTTCAAGAGTCGAAGAACCCGCACAACCTTGATGCCCTTGAACTCCTGGTGGTCACGTGCATCTCACCGTGACACGAGTATTTCGAGATGCGTCCTACGTGTAACGCAGTAACGTGCATCCCCACATGGGAAAACAGCACGGCGGCGGGGAACTGGAAGCTGCAGAAGCTGCAGTCGCCAAATGGATGGATTGGTGGTCAGTGAGTAGTGACCGTGGAACCCATGACCGGAACTTAAATCTCTTCAGCTAAGATTTCAAAGGTGAGGGAGACGTTAGCGTCCCGACAGAGTCTTTTCCTGATTAGAGTGTTTGTTTTTGTTGATTGTTGCGGTTTGTTGTGTTGGGTATTGTGCCCACACACACACACCCTCTCTCTCTCTCTCTATCCGCTGCCACCTCGAGGGAGTGTGTGAAGGTGATATTATGAGCTTCTATTGTCTCGCAACACTGGGGAACAAAGCACCACAGAATCAATTGTATATAATTATACAGTACAACATATCATTGCATTTGCATCTGTCTGAATCACATTTGATGATGTCACGAACAGGTCCGAACTATAGTATAGCATTTGTTGGCCGGCACACTGTATGGGAGTGGTCGCCCAAAGAAAACAAATCCACAAGGCGCATGGCCTTCCTACTGGTTTCCACCTCATACGCCGCCGGACGGCCCTTTCTCAGCGCCAGTGGGCAGACCTTGAGGCTATCTGCACCAGAGGCCAGACTGATCAGGTCAAAAGGGATCAAAGTAGTGAAGTCGAGGAAGAACCAGGTCTTCCTGAGGATATGAGATTCCGACCAGTTCACCCCCATACAGCCTACTGGGTTGTACCTTTTTTTTGCATGATAGGGCGCTATTGGGGCCCCATTAGTGAGTGCCTCATTGAGGCCATATCAATGGAGACAAATTGCTCTGCCCCAGCTGCAGACATATTCTGACATGTTTTGAAAGGCGGAACACCACAGGTGACAAAGGTGAGGATGCCTTATTTCATGGAGTGGTAAGAGGTCTCGGTCTATCCGACACACCTTTTTTATCAAAGGGATCCGGGATCCATTCATTGCCGTACTCTGTGCGCATCATAGCACATCTCCGCCAACTCGCCCAAGATCATGCTCGTGGGACAAGGAGCAAGTAGTGTTTTGTGATCTTCTTCAAGCGATCTTCCCAAATAATCCCTCGTGCGCTTCCTGAGCTGTGGCATTGTCTTGTGAAGAACTCCCACCCAGTTGAGTACAGCATAGTACTGCTTTGAATACAATGCAAGGTAGCAAACAAGGTCGGACGTGAGCTTTCAAACAGGGCAACGAGATTTGCTGCGCCCAGAAAACGATTATATATATATATATATGGCTGCTAACCTGGAACTAGCCGAACAGGCAAAACTGTGCCAAGCACAACAGTAAGTCATCCCATCGATTTATAAGCACCCACACACGCATACATTACACGGTATCAACACTGTTGTTGGCTTGCCACAACAGCAGTTTGCCTACCAGTCATCTGCTGATGGAGATTTGTCTTCCTTTGAAATCCATACATCCAAACCTCCAAACTGTCGCAGCGAGCGACCCTCAGAGGGTTGCCATCGTCCTGTCACGAGCGTGGAGGATACCCTGGTTGCCCTGTCACGAGGGAGGATCACTCCCCAAGGTCCCGGGGAGTGATACCGACCCAAGCATCTCTTCGGGTACATCGTGAAGAACTGCAGCACCATATCGGCCAAGAAGACCGCATCGACGCCTCAGGCACATTGTGACGACTCCAACTCCGCGGGGCGGTCGGGGCAGACCGACCGCAAAGGACCTCCCACGAAATGACTCTGTGCAAATGTATTGGAAGAACCGTGAAGAACCTGTACAATATATAGATCTTCCCCCACTTCCTTGTGTAGCGTTCAGGTGTCAAATTTATTCAAATTCACCACCGCCGCACTCTCCTGGACGCAAGGAATGGTTGCCTGATAATGAGATCCTGAACATACAACATCATACAACGGGGATAAACTTTGGTCCATACAAACATCAGCCAACATGTTCAACCCTGCCATCGTCAATTTCGTAGCATTTGGTCCATGTTAAACAAAACACCTCGTTGTAGTTTAAGAACGCGTTCATGTGTTTCCGGAATATGTTTATTCATGCTTGTCACATACATTCTGCCAAATACGCATGACTTTAAATACTTTACCCTAAGAATCCGGGCCCTCAAACAGATAGGGTTTTGAGGGCCCGGACCCCAGCTATGGAGGCTCCGACCCCTGCCATGGAGAGCCCAAGGATTCTTAGGGTAGGGACATACGCCCCGCGAGGGTCGGTGCGACCGTTTGGGTCGCCAAGGGGCCGCCTCTTAGTCCGTGGCCCGTGCTCCCGTTCGCCCTCCGAGGTGCAAAGGCTGAAAATCATCAGGCCATCGATGCGCATGGGGAAAAGACCCACCTGGTCAACTGAGGTCCAAGGTCCGTCGACCGTGGAAGGAAGGACTCCGAAACGGGGGGGGGCTCGTTTTGGCAGAGTCGTAGCCGCAGCCTGATCCGAAGGATGGGCTTTGCCTGGAGAATGCCGCCGATTCTGGGGCTTGCAGGCAGCTTTGACCTGCAGTTTCAGGTGGGGGGATGGTTGTGGCTACGAGGACTAAGAGTTATTGGCGTCGGTTCTGAAAAAGGCTCATAGGCCAAACAGCTGCAGTCGCCCAGACATGGAGCGTGGAGGTAGTACATGATAGTACCTTCACGAGTGAGATAGTAAATACCGTACCACGTGGATAGACAGTTGACAAAATATGCCTTCCTCCACTTCACCCCGCATATCCAATGGCATTGTTCTCGGTTGTCACCCTCCGACGCACCATATAATCAATCCTCTTCCAACACTCTGCACCTGGACAGGTGTGACGAACGCCACGAAGATCATCGCGGCAAAGGTCACGAACTGCCAGTAGGTCGCATACCTGATGGCTGGGGGCTTGTCTTGAAAGTACTCGATCAAAAACGCGGGGACAAACAACATGACACTATCACCGAGATGTCTTGCTGTTCTCCACGCACAGCCATGCTGCACACACACACACACACACGCAAGCAACTTTAGTATGTGTTTGTGTGTGTGAGTTTGACCATTATATTGTAGTGCCTTCTATCCACTCTATTACCCACCTTGATCGACAATCTGAATGAGCGACGTGCCTAACGCTTGACTTGACCGTCCTGGACCGTAAAACAATGCCTTCGTTGCGGCGGTTGACCGTCGCTGCGTCCAGGTTGCTTAGTGCTCTCCGGATTGATCACCTGAGATGGGCCAGCATGTTGTTGATTATGCATGCCCGGCTGGAAACAAACTCGCTCGAACAGTGTTCATCCCATCATGTAGGACATGAAGCTAGAGAAATGCACACCAGTGCTTTGTGAAGACCCAGGTAAATAACATAAATAATAGACATATATATATATGATATATATATATTTTTTATATGTAAATATAATATAACATACCCAGTGGATCCCGATTGCACTCTGAGAAGCCAATTGGAGCCTAACATCATTGTGGAAGAAGACTAGAGCCCAATAGCATTCTCACAAA